TATTGAATGTCGTAAGAAATAATATATGCGAATAATAATTAATCTAATTATTCTAAAATTGTAATCTATGTGCCACAGAATCTTTAATTGAAAAATAATCTTTTTCTTTTCATTATTAGCGAATCTGAAAAGATATTGTACACAATCAATAGGAGATCAATGCCTTTAACGATCTAGTTGAATCTTCAATGTTTGTTTAATTCTATGTGAATTTATGTACTACGTATATAATTATTTAAAACGCGCGCTAAAATGATTTTCAGTCCTGAAACGCAAACTTCATTAAACTACTACAGTAATATCAAAAGTTAAATTGATTAGCAATTTAACAAACATTGATATGAGATTGACTAGTTAAATTGACTAATAATTTAACAATAAAAAGATACTGTATTTTTCTCATTAACAAATTTTTTTAATATCAGTATGATGCTTTTATATTATAATAAATTATCCAATCACCGCAATCAATTATTGTCTGACATCTTTAAGACATATTTTTTACCAGAGAGAGTTTCACATAGTGTGTCTAATAAGAGCGTGATAAACTTTTATTTGGGAATTATTACATCAAAAACTTTTTAACAGCTAAATAGAAATTTTTCTACGACGCGTTCTAATAAAAAGTTGTCTGACTTTTGCTAGAGAACGACATATTTAACAGAGTGCGTTACGTTAAAAAAATTCGAAGCTGTTTTTCTTTGATATATCCGAAAAGAACCGAAAATGTCGTAGGAAGCGGCTACAAAAAAGTTCAAGATATTTATAAACAAGTGGATAAAATATTGTACTATGAAGCATGAAACGGTAAAGTGGTATGAAATATTAAATACCGTTGATAATTCGTTGAAAGTTGTATCACGCTCTTAGACAGATTGTACAAGCATAAGTTTATCTAACAATAAATTGATAAAATTGAATTAAAATCAATCCAATTACATGAATGTTTATCCTATAAAACGAAACCATAAGTAATAAAAGTAAAATTAGAAAAATAAATTTATACTACTTTAGATAAAACTTGTTTTTAAGTATCTTCTTTTTATCAGATTTTAATTAATATTACAATTGATCGATTTAATGCTTAGAGAGGTTTTTTAATTGGATATATTTTTTATAATAAGAATAATTTTTTCTTTATCTAATGTATTTATAAATTTGTTGATTATTATAAAAAGATTGTATTGTGGCACTAGATTATCAAAATAATCTGAACAACTTGTCTTGATTTGTTTCAACAAGGAGAGTATCATTATTCGCAGATGTATACTGTTATATAGAAGTATTATACATATATACACTGCCGTTCTATATTATTTTAAAATACATCCTTTTCATGATAGAATGCAGAGCTATGCATTACGTAGAATCAGTCATATGAATAGCTTTATCATGTTTAGGTACCATATTGTTGAGATAAAAAAATTTCAGTGAACAATGTGTGTGTGAGCATTTTTTTATAAATTAAAGTTATAAAAACATTTTCTTTTGTGAAACTATTAATTTGTGAAACTATTAATATTTTTGAATTATTTTACATTTTATTATTTATTCTATGTCATGTCTTACATTATATTTTTTCATATTTTTTTTCTATTTTATTTTTAAATTTTGTAGCATTTATTACTTGCAAAAGTTTCTTGTGTTCCTAACAAACAAGAAATTCAGGTTACACTTTGACGCTACGTGATTTTTAACAAAAACGTAAACTATAATTAGTGTAAGATAGTTACGCAAATAACTAGAAATATGATAAAAGTTGTACATATATCTTTTCAGTATTATCATACATTTTGATAGAATTGGCGACATGATTTGTTTATCTAGACATGTTTTTTAAATTTCTTGAAAGATATGATTCTTTCGAAAATGACGCACTTTTTTAAAGGCCTACAGTATCATTCATCATAACTCAGTTTGTTATTAAAAGGACAATTTTAACTTTTATAAATTTCACTATGCAAATGACTTTATTGTTGAGACGTGTTCAACAACATATACATTGTTTAAGTTAATCTGGATAAATTAAGGGATTGGCATGAAAATTTAAGCAGGATTTATTGCGTCGCTCAATTTTTTTGTTGTACATTCAGAAATATTTAATACCCATCTGAAGATTACGATTACAATCATGAAATATTAGCTGAATATCATCATGATGCATATCTACTTACCCTTCGATACTTACTTCTTGACACTGAAAGTGATAAACTTACATACGTACGGCTTACAATCTCTACTTCTTTAAAAAGCAGAAGATTATTTTTTCACGCAACATACTTATATCCACATAGAATCAATTCTTAAAATAATTAGTCTTAATATTTTTATGCCATTTTATCTTTTACGTGACTTATATGAGTTGCATTTTTTAGAATCGTTTGCCATGTTAATATTGATGAGAATATATCGTAAAAATTTTTCTTGCGACATGCAAAGCTATATTGAATTTACATGACATGCAATTTAAATTTAATGAAAATGCATAATGATGAGTTTTGCAGTTTGTATTTTTGCAGCGAATACAAAACTTTTCAATAGCTTCCTATTGTTCGGATTGTTTCGTAGAGATACGACATTCCTTGTGAACTGCTTTGCAGAGTGATCTATCATAGGCTACATTTAATATAAACTGTCGTATATTGCTTGTATGTATGTACGAATACGACGAGTCGCTATAAAAATGCATTATCACGATAGTCCTTAGCGAAAAGCATAACAGTGCCTTTATTAAGAAAATGCCACCGTACAGTTTATATTTTACGATGATTAATTCATATATATATATATATATATTATATATATATTTGTTCAAATTGATCCGTGTATGCGCTTAACACTTTGATCGTTACGAACCATATCTATATTTTCTTAAGAATTGTGATGTTTAAACAAACGTATTCTTCACTCACTCAGATAAATCTGCCAAGAGATTGCAAATTGTGTGTTACATATAAAGAGCTGTGTTCCAAAATTCATTGCCAACGCTCAAAAACTATGATTTACATTAAGTGCATTATTTTCAGATTTTGAACACTGACAATTTTGGAACACAATCTATGTTAACAAAATTTTGGCAATAACCGAGTACAGTGTACTGTTTCTAATATCGATAGAAATGTATCAGAAGCAAGCCTTGCATTATGATATCACGATAGCAAGGTATACTCCGTTCTTACTGCATTTCTGTTATATTATAGCTAACAAGTTGTATAATAGCAGAAACCAAAGAGAACACAGTGAATAACAATAATTTATTCTAAAATCATTAAATTGGCTAGCATTTTACTATTCAAGTCAATCATATAAGTGATAAATAAAACAAATAAATTGAAGATTTCAAGGACTCTTATATAATAATAATTAATACGTTAAACAGGGCAAATAAGAGTCAAATTACAATTAAAAATCTAAATCTGATAATTTATTCTAATATATTGCGAAGAGATCACGTAATTTTTGGCGTTTCGCCCCGGCTTCCACTACTGGACTCATCAGTAAGCCATTGTAGTGGAAGCCTACCTTATACGCCTTGATAAATAAAAATAAATGAAAAAAATCATGGTATCTCTGATATATAAATTCAATTCTACAATTCTCAGCGAGAAATATATTAGCGTATGTGTGACGTAACGTGTCAAAGTGTTAAAATGGAAACGGAATTGCAGATCAAGAATCAAATCAGAACTTTCGTCGCAGTGATCTGTATCGAGATTACGTAACTATATATAGACCTATATCCCGAAATTTCTGGTCCTATTTGTTACTCGACGTATATCTAGAGTCATTGAGAACGTAACGCATTGAATTGTAACGTGAAGACGTGTCATTTTGTTCAAAGTCTGATCCTAAAAGCTAAGCCTGATTTATAATTGTACGTCAACATCCTATTGTTGCCTAAGTGTCTGTCATAAGTAGCATACCAATCGATTCAGTATCCTTTTACCTTTATTTTCTTAATATACAAATCGTTCAGCTACCCATCGCAAACACCATGCAAACTCAGACTGATATATATTTCTTGTTTGTATTTTTTGATATTGTTTAATCTAGTCATACGTCAGCTATAACTATACACTTATATATTCATCATGCTCTGTAATATAAAATACATTGTAAATAAATATGTAAGCTTGATTCACCTAGTGGTTTTAATTAAACACTGAATATTTGAAGATAAATTAATTTTCCTGTCAAGTTAATAAAGTCCAATGTCACGGTTTTTAAATTCCTATTTCTCAACTTAAGGATACGCTCCAAAACGGTCTCTCCAACGATAATATATATACTATACATGTAATACATATATAACATACATATTAGGTATTGTAATAAAAGATTTCATGCAAAAATAATGGATTTCTTTTTACTACACCTAATATATTATATGATATGTAAAGATCTTTTTTGGAGACGTTTTGGAGAAAATGTAGTCTTCATAGATATGTAGATTATAAATATATAATGACTTAAGCATCGTTATAATTGAAATAATAAAATTTTAGGAAAGACATTTTATTTTGTTAACAACAATATTGAATCGTTGTATATTTTAAATTGTAAAATATAAAATTTTAATATTTATGTAGGTTTTAAAAAACCTTTTTTAATATTCTTAAAAGTAATTTCAATCAATAATTCTCAATAACTTAATCGACGATTATCAAATAATATCTGTAATGTTTTCGTTAAATTAGCATGAATAGAATTAATATTTCATTAATTTGACAGACGAAAAAAAGAGCGAAGACAGATCAGGAACGGCAATTTATGTGGAAATTTCAGTACAAGTAGAGTCCAAATCAAATAAAATTAATGAGAATTTGGCCGAATAGTTGTCGTGCCGTCACGCTACGCCGTCTTTAAACAGACTGCTGCGTGCTGTAGTACGACTGACTATCACGCGGTAGCAAAGTACCCGGCTAGCGCGTAGGAGTTCACGTCCCTGAGTGACGCGAGAGAGACGGCGCGTCCGCGTGCGGGGGAGCGAGACGCCGATAGGACGCTAGCTACCACACTCGCCACGGTGTTGAGCTGCTACGGTGGTAGTGAATGGAACGCGCGGTGTGCCGCACGTCCTCGCGTAGTACAACGCTCCGAACGCTCCGCGGGCGCCGCGCCACCAATGGCCAGCGAGTACGGGCGGTCACGTGACGCGCGTGCCGAGCCAGCCAGCAGAACATTGCAAATGACAAGACGCGTAGGGCATTGTCGTCGCGCCGCCGCCGCTGCCGCTGTCGCCGTCGACCTATCGCTCTCGGAAATACCTCCGGCCGTAAATCATCCCTCGGTGGTAGTGCTTTAGCGCAGGTGGCCTCCACGTCCGGACGTACGTCAGGCGTCCCCGAGGCGATCCGTAGTCGGTTGCGCGCGCGACTCTCGTCAGGAGCTCCCGCGCCCTGAGAGAGAGAGAAAGAGCGGCCGCCAGCCAAGGAGGAAGCCGCCAGGTGCGCGTCCGGTTTCGGTCCGCGCGCGCGGACCCGCGATTCGCCACCGTCGCGACGTCGCTGTCGTACCCCGTGTAAGTGAGAGAAGATGTCGGGCTCGCAGCGTATGCGAAAATCCTCGCCATGCTCGAAGCAGGGCCCGATGCGCGCCACCCTGCCCGTGAGCTCGCTGATGAGACAGGGCCGGCAGAGCAGCAGTCTCCGCAAGAGCAACAGCAACAGTCCCACCGTCTCGCCGACGAACGCGGCCGTCTGGCGGGCGCGCATTTCGCCGGAGACGTCGTCTTCCTCGGGACAGCGGAGCCCCGGATCCCTGTCCTACAAAGGTACGATCATCCCCCCCCCCTCTCTCTCT